GCTCCTGCCAGCATTGATTACCCTGAGAGTTCAGGGGATTGACTGAGCAGGAGGTCGGGCAGGGGCCTCTTCACCCTACATTTGGCGCCAGATACCTGCACTTTCCTCCTGGCCCCTCCACCTCCAGTTCTGAAAAGGTTTCCTGGGGCTGAGCTCCGTGAACCTACAGGGGCTCCCTATCCCATGGAACTGCCCCTATCACCCATTCCCTTGTCGGGGTCCCCCTTATCCCTGTACCCAGCCCTGTCACGGCAGTCCCCCTATATTAAGGCTCGCTGTGGCTGCTGCTGTGTGCAGTCCCTTCCTACCCCGTGTGCCCTCCCCTGTATACCCCCTTATCTACCCTTTGTTCTGTGTGCTCACTCCATCCCGTACCATTGCATATCCACCATGGCCAGCGAGTGCGGGGCGAAGGGGTCTGGGAAATCGGAGGCCGGTCGCAGCGGGATCCTTGGGTCCACCATTGTCCACTCCTTGAAACAGATGCAGTAGTCCCGTCTGAACGACCCTCGGTTGCCTTCCTTACTGTGCCTGTTGTCCTTCGGACCGTCTCTGCCGTCCCACTTGATGAAGGCTATCATACCCCCGTTGGCGCCGCCCAGCCAGTCTTCTGAAAATTGCTGAATTTTGTCTGTTATGTCTTTTTGTGTCTGAAGCGTATCAAGTTGGTCTTTGACTTTCTGCCATTGTGCCCTGAGCTCCTGGTGAACAAATTGTTTCAGTGTGTCCGTCATTTCCTCCCCCGCGATGCAGATCCCCTCCATGATATGTATGAATCTTCTCCTTCAAATTGCCCAAACAACCGCCCTCCTTCCTATTTTGAACATATTATTTTCGAAGGTGCTGTCTGAGGGGGAGGACCAGGTCTCGCATAAGATCGCCCTCCAATCCCACGGCCACCGGGAGTCAGTACCCAGATAGCTCCAGATTCTGTCCCACCATCGCCATGTGAGGACAGCCCCCGGGCATTGCATAAATATGTGTTCGATCGTTTCAGGGATCTTTCTGGAGGGAAACACCGAGACGCAGGACTTGCACCACGGGAGCGCCCGTCCCGTTTGTTCCAGGTACGTGCGGTCGATCAGCCAGTCATTAGTGGGAAGACAGCGGTGTTCTATCTGCCATTGCAATGAGGCCAGCTTTGCAGGCTTTGACCGCGTGAGGGCGAACCACCGAACAGGGCGGATGACATCGTCCCCCAGATTCAGATGGGATTTCCAGCGGCCCTTCACGATGTCTTTCAGGTTTACTTTGGGCCGCAGCAGGCGATACGTGGTTTTCACCGAAAGGCTCAGTAAATTCACCTTCTTAGCTAACTGAATTCTGCGCGCAGGCGGCCATTGCCACTCCTCCGGGTCTAGGGGGAGGTCCGCTAACCGGGTCTCCGGCCAGAATGCTAACCAGCCATCCTTTTTATGTAGCACCCTAATCCGATACAGGTCGGCGTTTGGGTACCATCTCGTCACTTCCGGGGTGTACCTGGTTAGCAGATTGTCTGTTTTTTTGTGGAAGAGGTTTACCAATGACTCGTTCGCGCGCATCTCCACGACACTCCCCACACTCTCTGGGTCTCCCGGGACAGCCACCCAATCCCCCTCCTTTAGTCCTGGGCCCTTTCGCAGAATGCGGACCCAGTCCAGCGGGATTGCGAAAATCAGCTGTTCCAGGTTCATTTCCAAGTTGTGACAATGTTTCAGTGCCGTCCTCAKCTRCGGGGCTGTTTTCCAGTCCATGCTCTCTGCATCCCAWATATCTTYGACCCTGATTATGCCTTKCCTCACCCARCTGTTCCACGGGGGGGYCGAGCTGCAATAAACCCTTCCGTTMYGGTCTGTGATCTYTCTGTTTCCAAACAAGGGTTGTCTGGYGACCTCCTCCSATCTGGAKGGCCCGGGCTTATCTGGGAGAGGGAGCTGCCGCCAAGCCCTCAGACAACGGACCCAGAAGTCGTCTTTTGCCAGGTCCCCACGGGCTGCCCCCCTGCCCGTCATCTGGTCGGTCCGAGGGCGTCTCGGTATGGACCAGAAAAGATCCTCCAGCCAGGTCAACGGTCAACCGTTGGCGGTGTTTGTGGGGCCAGGCGGGCGATCTGTTCCAGCGCGAGGGCACGCCAGGGGAGCTCCTTGGTAAATATCATCCTCTTAATCCATTGAACCATGAGTGTCGTGGTTTGAGTGCCGGGGTCTAGGATGCCCAGACCCCCTTTATCCTTGGGTTGTACAACCGACCGCCAGGCGACTCTATTTATCACATTCGGCAGATCGCTGTTACCTCTCCATAGTAGCGCAGTTATTCGTCGCTTCAGTGACCGCACCGCTTCCTTACTCAACACCCAAATTGCCGATTTGTACCGTAAGGCGGCCAGAACAACGTTGTTTATCACTAGCGCCCGTCCAATCAGAGAGGTGTGTTGATCATTCCAGTGTGCTAGTTTCGCGAGTGCGGGCTTGAGAATCGCCTCATCGGTGGACGTCGGCCTTCCGGTTGCTGTTAACATAATTCCCGGCACTCTCACCGGGGCTGACTCCGGGAGCCATTTAACCCGGGGTAGCTCCGGGGGGCGCACCCCTTGATGGTGAATCCACCATCCCAGGGTTTTATTGCCCCAATTGACTGTCATGTCTGAGACTGTTGTGAACGTGTCAAAAAGTCGCCGGATCTCTTCCATATTCTCGCTAGTGGCGTCCAGCATCAGCGTGAGGTCATCCACGAACAACAAGCAAACAGGGATTGCATCCTCCGGAATAGCCGAAATCTGCAGTTTCCTCAGGTCCTTGTTTGCTCAGAGGTTTGCCGCCAAGGCCTCCATTACTATTATAAACAGGAAGGGTGCAAGAGGATCACCCTGGCGGACCGACCGTTGCAGCGGAAACGGTGGCGCAAGTCTGCCATTAACTTGGACGCTCGTAGTCGCGTTGTGGTGAAGGATCTCCGACCACCGGCGGAAAACTGGTTCTTCTCCCAAATAATAATAATAATAACAACGAGTGGTTGAACCAGAATCAATATCCGGAGTTCCCTCTTACTGCCAGCAGAACAATAGGTCCACCATAGCCATGGCTTCCCCCTTCTTCCTCCTCTCACATGCCAAGGCTATGGCGGACTACTAAGGGCTTTGCCCTCCTGTGCAGAAGACAACGCAAAGCAGCTATGGTCGCTGCTCTTCAGGCCGCCATGCCTGACTCTGCCTCAAAGCTTCCTTGGTGCGGCACTGCCCCAACCGGGGCCTTCCAGATGCAGTGCCTGACAAGGTGATGAAGATGGTGTCCACCAAGCCAG